GAGCCGTGCCAAATCATTCCAAAAGGGCTGTTTCTTGGGTTGTTACACTAAGGCATTTGGAATAAAATCACAGAAGACCCAATGTGCTGCACTAGCTGGACATCTCTTGACAATTAACTGGAAATCGATGGCAATTACAGCGTGTGAATGCCCACCAGCTCACACTCACGTACCTGCAGCATCGACTTGGGGTGTGGCAATTCTTCCCCTTGGTAGATCTTTATGTACGCCTGCAAAATAGTGCACAGAAAATGAAATCACATTGAATTGGGCATACATGAGCGACACGCAAACACCCCCACCCAGTTCCAGACACAGCTTTCACAGGATGTTAAAAGCACACAAGAGGAGGACATTCCTGGCAGAAGATGGCTTTGGCAGGGGATGCTCTGTCAGAAAACGCTACGTAACATGGCTCGAGGTTGACTCCTTGGGTGGCCTGGGTCAGGCACTCAAGGCTCTCACTCCACCACTTACACTAAATATCTCTACCATCAGCTTTGCACCTACCTCCATCCTCCACTGAAGGAGAAGGAGCCAGAGTCAGGTAGCCCTGGAGAGTAGGTGGTGAGAATTACTCACTGATGTCTTGCATGAAAATGTCCCAGTAGTCATGACAACAAAAATAAGCATTTTCCAAAGGCAACAGGAATACAGCCCTCAGTCTACTTTCCCCTGGTCTTCAGTTCTCCAGGGAGGAGGGGGGAAACAGCCCTGCCCACTTCTTGTGCTTAGTGCATGACCAAATACCTGAGTACAAGGTGTTTGCTCTCTGCAGCAATGGGAGCCAGGACTATTAGCTAGACCAAGAACATTTCCTCCAGGTGGCTTGTCTGCTGCTGCTTTCCCATTTAATTACAGCAAAAGTGGAAGCATGCCTCAGATTAATAAGCCAAATTTCTCTTAAATAAGTCAATACCTTAAAATACTCCACAAGGCCTCGACAGGTGATATGGTTTCCATTGATCTCCTTAACATCCAGGCTCTCAGGACTAAGAAGCCAAGGAATCAAAATCTTCAAGTTCTTGATGAACTCATCGTCTATTTCTGGAAATAAAACCCCATGTCATCAGCACCAGCTCAGTGTGCTTCAGTGCACTCACGTGAAACAAGAGCAGCAGAGTCAAGCCAGAGGCTCAGACACCCTGTAATTTAGTGATGTGAGCACTCAGAAATGATTGTGGCCCCAATTAAGTAGTTCCTTAACCCGTGGGCAGAATATACAGCTGTGCACATATCCAAAACACAGCTTCATGGTCTCAAAAATACTTGTGGAAAAAAAAAAAAGTGACTGCATGGGGAAAAAAAAAACAAAACACAACTGCTCTTGCTGATGACACTGGTAATGTGCACGCAGTGCCGACAGCCAGAGCGTGGCATCTTCTTGCCTAGACACACACAATTTGTAAATCATGACCTTGAGTGTACAGCGCACAGACACGTGTTGTGTCTTCCCTCTGCTCTGCTCCATGGCACCCGTAGTGGAAATCTTCTGCCAGGGCTCTCTGGTTCTCACCTCTGCCATCTCCTGAGCCAGCAGGTAAGACTTTTTGTGCTGAGTTCTTAGTTCTCTATGAACCCATACACAAAATTCTCATTGCAAAGCATTTTAAAGCTTTTGCAAACTATTAGGCGCTTGGTACAGCTACACCAAGGACTGCTGTGAGTGACTGTGCATTTACACTGCACCATCAGACAGCCCTTGGTGCAGGGACCAGGAATGGACACAATTGCTGCTCCCACCAGCCTGTCCCCTTTGCCAGAGCACAGAGCTGGGGCCCATGGGTTGCTTGTGTCACTTTATCAGAGGCTGACTCATCTACTAGCATGCATTCTTACAGCTTCATAGTGTCCCACATATATTTATTGCCATTTAAATTAAACTGTACAAGGCCAGAGACAGAACAAAACCAATCCAACACCCAGACATTTGGGAGGTAATTAGAGAGGGGAAGTTTTCCCACATTTCTTCCACCAGAGCACTAAAAAAGCTGCATATGGCTCTGAGGGAAAAAGAAAACCGGTATCAAGAAGCCACTGACAACTCCTGTGCCAGTTCTGGACACACCACTACTTCAGTACTACTCAGCACCTGAAATTAAGGGGGGAAGTAGCAGAGATCAGCTCCGTTTCCATCAGGGTGCCTCCCCCGCCCGGCCTCGCTGTCCTGCTTGCTGGTTAGCATGGAGTTTGCCAGAACAAGTCTGATCACCAGTCAGATAAAACCAGAAAAAAAAAAGTAACCTCTTCCTGTCTGTTAATTTATTATATTTCAAGTGACTAATGGGCTACTTTCTATACTGCTAAGATTGCAAGCAGCCTGTAACCAGAGATGTTGGTAAGCAGTTGGTTCACAGCAAACAACTGAAAAATTCCACAGTATGTGGCTCCTTTCAGGGTGGAGAATTTACCACAGCTTTTTTTCCTTCCTCCTTTTTTTTTTTTTTACCTGTTGAACTAAGTCTGCCCTGTAGGGAAACCACTGATCAGATAAGTCAGGAAGATTAAATATTCCTTGGAAACTTTTCAAAGTGAAATAAAATTCCCTTGAGAGCACACGTAACCAGTCTTCCACCCTCCACAAGCACCAGTCTGCCTTGCAGCAACCAGTCTGCACCACTCTGCATCTGGGCTGAACTGCCAGTGAGGAACAGGAGTTAACTGCAGGCTTAACACCGTGTCCATAAACTCCCTATCTCAGCCCTGCCTATCCATCACCTGTCCTGAAAGTGCTTATTACCAGCGGCTCCAAGACCCTTTTGGCCTCCCACACCTTTTCAGCCTCCACCTCCCTCCTGAGTTAAAAGCACCTGGCAATGAACAGGCAGCTGCTGGACTTGGAAGAATGAGCTGAGCCTGTCTACATCACTGGGAGGAGGATCCAGCTGCTCTCCCAGAAGTTTTAGCATGGAAAATACTTGTAGAGGTTTCAGGAACCAGCGGGACAGTCCGCCAGGGCATCTAAAGTATCCACTTAAAAACAAGACCTTTGTCTTCATACCTTTCAGTTTTCCATCGAAATTAGGGTTGGTGGCAACTTTCAGGCCCGGGTGAGGTAAGAGGAAGCAGGAGATTTTGGTGAAGCAGGAATGAATGTGCTTTCTGACGTTCTGCAGCTCTTCGTGCTGATTTCCCGAGACCTGCAAGAGCCCAGTTTGGGGTCAGGGGGGTTCCTTTTGATGGGGACACCCATAACGCTGGGCCAGCAGTGCTGGCAGGAGCACGGAGTATTCCACGCTGTGGCTGCTTGAAGTGGGAAAAGCAACAGAGAAGGACATCCCGTAGAGATACCCCGAGCGAAGAGAAAAACAAGGCTCTTCCAGCAACCAAGGAACCAACGTAGCTCTGACCACATGCCTGGGGCATGTTATTATCGTTTGGAAAATGTGCGTGTCCGTGTATGACTGGAATACAAAAATATTTGGGATTTCCCACTAGGGCCTTTCTTGTCTTCCCTTTAATTAGGTCTCTTGACTACCAAATTGCCTATGCATTTCCTGATTAATCCCAGCGTAGCCCTCGCCTATCAGTTCTACTGGACAACTACCTGTTACTAACACATTGTTCCTGATCTCTAGGGAATCTGCTGGCTCCCATCTCCATGCCTCTCCCAGCAAGAGAGCCCCAGGGAGCCTGGGCTCAGGCCTAGCACAGGCAGCCTCAGCCCTCCACTGAACATGGCAAGGAAATTCAGTCTCCTAAAATGCCTCTTCTGGGATTTTAAGGCACTGGATATGTGTGACCGTAACCAGCGTCTCTGTACGCTGCAGTTCACACCTAACTGTGGCCACCCAGCTGAACCCTCTCACTGGTGCCAGTGCTCTGCACCCCAGTCCCTGCTCCCTGCCCAGGATTACGCTCTCCAGTGCCCACTGTCCCCCAGATCAAGGTCCCACCCTCGTGCCCTGTGCACTTTCCATCACTGAATCCCAGAATCACCTCGATTGGAAAAGCCCTTGCAGCTCCTCCAGTCCAACCATGACCCTCCCCCTGACTGTTCCCAACTCCCCCAGATCCCTCAGCGCTGGCTCAGCCCGACTCTTCAACCCCTCCAGGGATCCCGGGGACTCCCCCCTGCCCTGGGCAGCCCATTCCAACGCCCAACAGCCCCTTCTGCACAGAAATCCTTCCTCAGAGCCAGCCTGACCCTGCCCTGGGCAGCTTGAGGCCATTCCCTCGGGGCCTGGCGCTGGGGCCTTGGCTCCAGAGACTCATCCCCCCTCTCTGCCCCCTCCTGGCAGGGAGTTGCCGAGGGCCAGGAGGTCTCCCCTCAGCCTCCTCTTCTCCAGACTGAACCCCCCCAGTTCCCCCAGCCGCTCCCCAGCAGACCTGTGCTCCAGACCCTGCCCCAGCTCCGTTGCCCTTCTCTGGACACACTCCAGTCGTTCAATGGCCTTTTTGGGGTGAGGGGCCCAAAAAACCCACACAGGTGATGGCAGCGTATGATGCAGATTAGGCTCTTCACCCTCTGTCACCCATGAGAGTGCCCCTCCAGGCTTAGAACTGCTCATTCAGTGAACCCAGAGGAGAGAGAACACACCTTCAGCCGCGGAATATAAGGGACTAGAAAAAGGAGACAGAAACACAACTGGGTCAGTGCCACTGAGTCAAAGTTACCAGCTGCTCCAACTCGGAAAAACTCACCTCTCAGGGCATCACTCTGCTGCTAATCGCAGGACCAGGACTGGCTACAGGAGACATCTAACTCTGCTGTACATTATCAGAAAGGGGCTCACAAGGGAGTTCAGGGCCTCCTTCCCCTGCTCGGAGCCTGCAGCAGTGACAGAACCCCTCACAGCACCCTCGTCCCCATCTTTGTGCCACAACAAGACCCAGGCCTGAGTCTCTGCCCAGCTCCAGTAGCATCTCACGCCTTTCCTGGTGGAAACACCTCTTTGTGCAAGGCCACCCCAGTGCTGAGACCGTGCAGACTCGCTGCACGGGTGGCTGTGTCCTACAAGGGGAAGGAGGGAGCAGACCCAGGACTGCTGTACGACTGTTTGCTGGGCCACAGTTTGATTCCCTAGCTTGAAGAATAGCATCAGTCAGTTAAACTGCAAAACAAGAAAGAGATTTTTGCTAACCAGGACAAAAGGCAATGAGCTCCCTAATTCCAGCCACATTTAGTTCCATCCTATGGGAATTTTACAGGCTCATTTTTTCAACATTTTTCACTGGGCAGCCTTCCAGACAGACTTTTAATGAGAAGCAGATGCAGGATAACGAGGGTGAATAAGAAATCACTGGCTTTTGTAATCTTTATTGAGGCATTCAAAGTTCCTATGCAATAAATAAATAAATACCAGTACAGTCAACTTTTAATCTTTAGAAAAAAACGGTTTTCAGAAAAAATCCCGTCTCCAGTGTCTCATCTGTGCAAGGGACCTATGTCCCATGTAACAAATACACAGTTTGGAGGGGGAAGGCCTGAATGCTGAAGCCCAGGAGGGCTTGGCAGGGCTGCCAGGGTTCCTCTCAGGCACATGAATAAGCAGGTCAGCAAGTGGAATCCATTTCGTCGGAATTTCCCTACAAATTGTCTATGTTTAGAACAAAGATACAGTGGAGAGAGGGAAAATATTTCCCCTCCTTATTTCTCTTCTATAAAACATCAGGGAAGGAAAAAAAAAAAAAAAAAAAAAAGAAGAGAGAAGAGTGAGCTGGTCATTCCTAGCTGCATGACAAGCCACAGCAACTGCACCCAGTTAGCTCTTTCAGGACATTCTGTTCTAAGATCATGAGATGGACATGTCCATGTTTAGGACTTTTCCACAAACACATTCTGCATGCCTCTCGCTGTTTGACTCTGCAATTATTTTCTTTTTTTCTTAAGCGAAATTGTTCTAGACATGCTGTCTTTGCCACGCCTCAGCCACCCTCAGCCCAAACTGCCAGACACCACACGCAGCCTTTGCAAGGGCATCACGACCAGGACCAGGGTCTGGTGAGGGCTCGTGGGGCAGATTCAGCAAGGACACACCATGGAGAGGAAGTGTTAATTTTCCACTGCCAAATATTTCTTCCCTTCCAGCAGGATCAATGCAACTGCCTCGCTATCAAGGCTTTCTCTACACTCCCTGCTTGGCAGCATTTTCCTATAGGAGCCTTCCAAAGCCTCCTTTGTAGATTTGTATATTTTAATAACAAAAGAGGTTCAGCTTGTTTGATTTACAGGCCTGGAACCTCACCCAAGAAACTCAAGCTGTATATTATCTTCTGCAAAGACAGCTGTCTCAGTTTAAAGCCTGCAGCTCCCAGAGAAGCCCCTGCATCTCTCCTTAGGCCACCCTAACCCTTAAATTGCCCCCTCATTAACAGTGTGCTCCTCGGTGCCAGCCTGACTTAGCCCAGCCTCAGCTCTGCACACTGCCTTGTCCTCCCTGCTGGAAAAGGGGGTTTAAACTGACAGAGGGGAGATTTAGATGAGATGTAAGGAAGAAATTCCTCCCTGTGAGGGGGGTGAGGCCCTGGCACAGGCTGCCCGGAGAAGCTGTGGCTGCCCCCTCCCTGGAAGGGTTCAAGGCCAGGTTGGACGGGGCTTTGGGCAACCTGGGCTGGGGGAAGGTGGCCCTGCCCATGGATCTCTGTTGCTCACCTGGCCACATCACCATCGATCCTTCCACCAAGTTCTGGCACATTGACAGGGTTATCACCAGTCGTTTGGTATTTTTCCCCAGATCATTAATGAAGACAGTGAATCAGAGAGACCTTGAGGGGGAGCCCCAAGGAAACACTTCTGAAGGATGATGATTCCCAATTAAAATTAGTTCATCTACCAGTTAATGAGGTTTTTAATCCATTTACAATGGATTAAACCAGACAATGCAGATTTGGTATGTTGTTCACTTGCTTTTAATCTGCATCATAGGGAGATAAGGCTTACAGAAAGCAACATACCATGGTGATAGTTACCTTTATCAAACAAATTCACAGTCTTTTAAAAATTGATAACGGGATAGTTTGACAAGACTTGCTATCCACAAGACTGTGTGACTTGACAGCAATTACAGTTTTTGGTAAAATCAGGGCCTATATCCAGTCCTAATGATTTAAACATATTTAAAAGTTCCCCCTTACAGCCTCCTCCTTACTGATGGAGTAGGAAGTATTTCACTTTCACTGAAATATTTGGCTAGATATCCTTATAGTTTTTAAATGAGGAACAGAAATATTTGTTTAATGTCTGGCTTTTCTGAGTACTACGTTACAATTTTCTCCTAGCTCTTGCTACTACAAGTAGTATGTTTCTACTGGCAGCTTTCTAACATCGTTTATCAGTCATCTGCCCATGACAGCATCCGATATATCCTCAAAGCTCCCCAAAATCTCAATTTGTCTGTTTCTTGTATTTTTCAACCTTTTAATTTTATTTCCACTTCCTGACCACAGACACCCTATAAACCCCTTAGGCCTTCCAGGATGGTGGTGAGGAGAGCAGTTCTCTTTTTAGGTTGGAAGGCAAAAGTAAAATAGCTGTAACCTGTTCCCAATCAATATTTGCATTTTTACAGCATGTTCTGCTCTCTGCCGTTTTTCACTTTGGGAAGCTCACAAGCCCCCACCCAGCTACCACCTAACTTACCAGGGATGCCAGCTGGAAGTTGGACCGAGCCATTGGGAGTGCCAAAGAGCATCTGGTTAAAGGAACGACTTGTACAGGGTAAGGCCAGAGCCTCACAGAAGGTGTTTTCCTTCAGTTTACCACCCTGATCCTGCAAAGAGCCCGGCAGCTCCACTGTGGCCTGGGGACATGGGGAGACCTCACAGCATGGCTCCCTCTATCCCCTTAGGCCCTCTCCCTGCCTCACATCTGGTCCCACAGACCCTCAAAAGCTTTGAAACCTGTTCAACCACCTTCCCATCCTCCCAGGATTCAGTGCAGCCATGATCAAAGACATCAAAGACTGGATCTGTTAAAGGACTGGAGCTTTAGCGAGCTGCCCCAGCCATGCCATGGGTACCTTCAGCTTTGTCTCTTTTCACTCATATTCCCTCTCCTCCTGGAAGGGGCTGTCACAGCCAACTATCCCTCCACCCTGGAGCTGCTCACAGCTCTGGTGTCCAGAGCAAGCTGGCATCTGCCCGACACTCTCCCTTTTATTTTTTTGGAACGCCAGCTTTTCACAGGTTGGAAAGCAGCAGGGTGAACAGATGTCACTCATTTGAAGTTAAAACCCCACTTAAAGCAAGCCTTCCCACAGCTCTGCTGTCACTCACAAGAGCTCTGAGCTAATCCTCGTCCTTTCATTTCGCCAGGAGCAGGGATTCCCAGGGCAAGCGGGTTCAAGCCTCTCAGAGCAAAGGCTGGGCAGAGTCCCCGGGTAGACAAACCCTCTGCAAAACCTGCTTTCCAAGCCTGGCAGGACATCTGTCAAGACAGGGCAGAGCTCTGGGGATGGCAGGGGTTCAGAGAGGAAAGAAAGAGGGATTTCGGATGTATTTGGAAGGCTCTTTGGAGGCAAGGGAGCACAATGCTTTTTCCTCCGTGCAGCTGAGCCAGTCCTCAGGCATCCCCATCTCCTCCCATCCTGCAAACTGCAGTGACACCTCGTGGTGAAGCCACCCGGCTCGGGGCCAAGCCATCTCCAGCCAGCGGGCCACCAGCTGGCCAGGACCCTTGGACTCACCTGGAAAGGTTTCAGGAATGTCTCCTCCATGGCCAGCCGGCCGTACTCGGTGAAAAGCTGGAAAAAGAAGCAGAGAACAACAGGACTGTTAGCTTGTCCGGCTGCACAGCCAGGCTGCGGGCCACATGGCCAGGCTGCAGGCCACCTGGGCACGTGCAGCACGAGGAGGTTGTTGACTTGGGGCTAACAACAGCATTTGAGGAGCTGGAGCAGAAACTGGCTGGCTGTGTGATTTCAGCTCACATCTGAGGCACAGAGAGCTGTTACGGAGAACCATGCTGAGCTCTCAGGTGAAAGATCTCAGCCTAGACTTTTTGGCTGCTAAATCTGTGAAAAACGGCTCAAGCCAGCTGCTTGCTGTTGCTCTCATACCAACCAGAAACTTCACGGGCTACAGGGGACTGCTGGAGCCCTGCTCTCTTTAAACACTCCAGTAAGAAGCAGAATTCAGAATTAAGTCCTTTCCCTGCAAACCCCCACTGTGCAAAGACTGTAAGATCAACATACCACCAAGATTTGAAGGCTCTCCAGCCTCTCAGGACTTTAATTTCTAACTGAAGGCACAATAATGTATTTCACAGATGCCTAGAAATGGGTCAACATGTTAAACAATAATGACTTAAGATCCAAAGTGAAAGTTGCATGGGGTAAGTTCAGTGTTAAAAAGGTATGATTATTAAAAATATTTACTGACTGAAATGATACAGTCTTCAAATGCTGATTTTTTCCATCTGGACTTTTGTCTTTCTTTCCTTTTTCTTAAGCTCCTGGAAAAACCTACCTATCAATCACCTAAACAGAAGAGAAAGCCAGAGGTAATAACAGGAAATCGTCAGGACACCTGTGCCACAAAAATCCCATTAGTTGCTTGTCTCCAATAGTAATTACCCTTAGGGTGATCGGTATGGACCAGCACCAGAAGTCAATACCCAGGCTTATAAAGCAGTTCCTAACTTCTTTGGGCTTCTCCTAACAATGCAAAGATCCCATCCTACAGGGTGAACAGTGCACCTTCTGCCTTCAGCTTCCCCATCACTTCAAATGAGCCCTTTTACTACCACTGCTCATGGAGCAGCAGACGGATGCTCACAGTATCAGGAGTACAGCCAAGACATGGGTAACTCCCCTGGTTCCCTCCCTATTACCAGGCACTTCAGCCCCCTGCTTCAAGTCACTGCATGTTTCCAGCCCCATGGATCAGTCCTGGCTCTGATGGGTCTCTGCTCCCCGAGGAACCCTGTATAATCCCATGGAAGGACACACAGGCTGTGAGCTGTATCCAAACTGTTCCTGGCAGACCTGTGACAGGTGCTCCACACCAAGATGGGCTGTGATGGGTACTCTACACCTGCCCTACACAAGTCTGTTTGATGTTTCTCTAACCTCACCATTAGAAAGTCAACTTAACTCTCTCCAACTGCAGCAGCACCTGTGACAACTTGTCCTTGCACTGTGGATTTAAGAAAAGGTAACGATCTCCACTTTGCAGCAGCCTCAGACACAGCTGAGACAGTCACCACCTCCCCTCTCAGTCACTTTTGCCTCCTGACTTACCAGCCTTGGCTCTTTCAGCCTCTCTGTGCCCTCCAGCCACTCACTGAAGCATGAAGCACAGCCATAGGACCTTTCCAGCTCCACAGGCCATCAGCCTCGAGGAAGAGACGTGCCCCAGAGACAGGAACAGTCCTTCCTGGCAAGCGTCCCACTGACTGCCCTGCCAAAGGACCCAGGCCCTCAAGAGCCACGCTACAAGAGGGTAGGTGAGACAGATCTCAACCCCAAACAGCTGTTCCTCCCTGCCTCTGACCAAAATGAGAGCTGGGAAACTGCAAAATATTTTGTGGCTACCAATGTGAAAGTGCCTTTTCGGAGCAACGCGGCTTGCCAGCGCAGGACATAGTCCAGCAGCTCAGTGACGAGGAGCAGCAGGGACAAGGGTCTTACCTGCAAGTGCTGCAGATCATCCTCCTGCACGTTCTGTGACAAGTTGTAAACCTGCATTTAAAACAAAAGCTTCTGAGCAACTCAACAGCCCATCCTTGGGGCCAACACATGGGTCGGTGTGGTTAAAGCCTATGACACTACCATGGGGACACAGCCAAAGTCCTGGCTGGCCCATGGTGCTGGTACAAGACAATCTCCAAGCACAGCTGTACTGCTGGACAGACTCCCACTGACAGACAGACAGGCACTGCTCCTCTCTGCACAACAGAACACTCCAGCAGAGGAGCAGCAAGGGCTGCCACACGCCAGCCTGGAAGCCTGTTAGGTCCAAATAATGTTCCTTCTTCCCCATTTTTATGACGTGCTGAGCTCTGCACCAAGACACAGCTTCCATCCCATTCATACTGCCTTCCAAGAGCAAAGGCTGTACAGGAGGAAGGAACACCCAAGCAGGCTACATGGCTACTGGCTGTGGTGGTGCAATCCTCACCCATCCTTGTCAGGCTGCTTGGTGCTAGGTGTGATTCCATCCACCTCCCCTGAGCTATACTCCAACCTGTGGAGACAAGGACTTCTAAACCCCCTTAACAAGCCTGGCTCCTGCCCTCCTTATTGCTCTAAAGTGTTCTAACAGCCCATCATCTCCCAAGGGCCTGGCACACCTGTGCCTGGGATGGGGTCAGATGGGAACAAAAACAGAGTTGCACATTCGTCAAGTTCTTGTGCAACTGCTGGAAGGCACTAAAATACTTCATTGTTGAGCTGGGCGTGAGCAAAAGGTATCTGACAAAAGTCAATTAGCTTGGACCCTATAAATTGTGACCACAAGGGAGACCCTTTGAGCTCTCCTGGATCACAGTGGGCTGTGACCAGCATCTCCCCTGAGCTGGGATGCCTCTCAGGTATCAAAACACTTAACGTGTGGTCTGCTGCCAGAGCTGAGGGAAGGCCGGGGCGAGTCAACCCCCTCAAGTCTCAACTATCACCTGCTGAGGAATGCCAAGGCACTGTGAGTATTTACTCTAAACTCAAGAGGCGGGAAATTTCACTTTGAGCTAGCTTCTCTTTCACTCACTCTTTCTCTGCTTACTGGTGTGTGCAGGTACATACTTCATTCTACTGGATCCAAATACTTTTGCCTCTCTGTGTGTTTGTACTTTATAACATTTTCTAAATTATTTGGTAATGATCAAGTGCTGTTAGTTGTTAATAAATCTAAATTTCCTGTTAAATCATTACCATGTTAATACTTTCATCATGACACTGGTGTGTGAAAATCTCTAGCCCAGAGGTTTCTCCAGTGGCACCAAGACAAAAGCACACCCTGTTCCCCAGACCAAGGTCCTTTTCTCTTTGTAGCTGGAACCAAAGGGGTGCAGCAGCTGCTGCTCCTGCTCTTGGGGTAAGATGAAGTGAAGAGACTGTTGCCTGTGATGATGGAGGCATGTCTGAATCTTCACTCAGTGCAGCAAACACACTGGCCTTTGTCTCTGCCACCAAAGGCCCTGCCTAGCTGTTGTGTTAGGCTGGTGCCAAGCTACTGGGTTTTTGTCACTGTCTTTTAGGAAGTGACTCCTAGAGACATCCCCCTTCTTACCTGTATCGAGCTGATCATTGTGCTAAGGGCAAACACGGTGGCTGAATCCCTCAGGGTGGACTGGCTGTCAAAGGTCCCCTGCGTGTCCATCAGCAACACTGCAACCTGAGAGGCAGAAAGCTCCATGTCACCTTGGCTGCACCCGTGCAGCATCTGCGTCCAAGCAAAACCACTCTCAAATGCTAAAGGGGTGAACTGGGGGTAAATGTCAGCTGCATTATTGTGCTGGGAACCTCACTGCTCCTGCCTCTGACTTAGAATTGGTGAAGGACAAAGGAAAAGAGCATCCCCAGTCACTCCTGACGGCACGATGCCTCCAGCAGGCAGCAAAATGAGGGGAGGGGACTGCTTTGCTCCTCAAATACTTGCTGTCAGTGCAGATGGGTCTCTTCCCAAGTCTGCATTAGCTTCACATCACAGAAACCAAATGTGGCAGCTTATCACAGCTCCTTAACCCAAAACACATTCAGCCAGAATCAGAAATCACACTGTGAATAATTCAGGGTCACTGGTGCTGGGCACTTCATTAAGGCGGAGGTGAATACAAATATTCCTGGCTGTAAGTTGAATTTGCAGGATGCTCCAAAATCCTCTTTGCATTGTATTTGATCACCCTGAATGAAGACACTCCACCTTACTGCTATTGCTCTAGGAAAGGGAGTAGTTAGCAAGGATCTCAGATTCAAGATTCCTGCAAATAGCAAAGAAATAAACTCTGGGATGCCCAGAGTTAAGAAGGACACTGAGACATTATAGCAGGGACACCATGACATCGTATCAACTCATGACATTAAACCCATTCATGCTAAATTAGGAATATGGTATTAAAGACCTTCTCTAAACTTGCACAGGCATTGGGTCACTTAAGGCAAGGCAGGAGAGTATTACAAAAGCTGGGAAAGAAAAATGAGCTGATCAGCAACAGAGAAGCACACACCTTTTTACCATCAGGCTTGTCCACCAGGAAAACCTCACTCCATATCTGGATGCCAGTTGTCTCCCGCTCAGACCCTCCCCTCCAGGAGAAACCAGTCAGAGGCTCGTTATAATCTCCACCCAGTCCACTGCTTCCTGCAGGTAGGAACAGAAGTTGTTGCTGGAGTTTTCACCTCACTTTGGGTTTAGATTTTTCCTCTGTGCGGCCTCCACCCCAGTGCTGGAGCGGGACGGCCCCTATAAGAGAGGTTTTCTACATGGTAGAAAATGTGAACATCTCTGCTCCAAAGTCAGGAGTGACCAGAGACCCACTGGTGCACAGGGCTCTAGAAGGATCTCCTCTATTTTCTTCTCTATTCTCTATTTTATTTTTGAAAGCCCATGCTGATGAGAGGCTTGAGCATTCTTAGAGCACCAAGCCTAGAGCTCATCCCTGGGTGGTACATGGGAGCCAGGAGCAGCAGCACCCTACCCCTGGGAAGAGCCACCTGAGCTGGAGCCATACCTTATTGTACATGTACCGCAGCATGAAGTCCATCAGGAATGATTTTCCTTTTCTAAAAGCTCCAGCAACAGACACAGCCACAACCTCTTTATCTCTGACAGCCTCTGAGAGGAGGATGCGGTTCAGTGCGGCTTCATCCAGTTCAAAGGAATGGTCATCTTTGACAATAAGGACTTGCACTGGTCCTGCCTTCCTCACGGACTCCTCCTCCTCTGAGCTCCACTCGTAAGTCTTCTCTGCAAAACTACCTGCGTAAACGAGTATAAAAAAAAAAAGCTGTTAGGTTCCTTCTTCTGCAAAGTTCAGAATCACAGACAGCAGGGCTGGACAGAGTGGTAAGAGGTCAGCTAACCCAAATATCCATCCTAAAACAGCATCGTTCAGAGCAGATGTCTGTCAAACCTGTCCTCAGACATCTTACTGCAGGCTCTAGGCCACTTTGGGGCCACCCGTCCACGTGCTCCTGGCAGGCAGAGAGTTCCCTGCCAGAATCTCCCTTGATAAAACACACCCATTACTTTTTGTCCTACAAGAGTTGACGTGGAGAACATCTAGATCACTCTCTTCTTGGCTGCAACAACTTCTTCCATGCACAAAGACTGCCGTAACACCTCCATTTAGCCTTAACACAGGCCATAACACCTCCCTTAGCCTTCTCTTGGCTAGACAAGAAAGGTCCAAGCCCCACAGTCATCCCTTGCTGCTCACATCATCTAGGCATCTGACTTCTCTCCTCTGGACCACCAGGTCTTCCCGAAGCCTCTCTCAAAAACGGACGCAGCATTCACACTGAGGGGTCTAAGTACCTCCTGTCTCTATCAAAGGACACCGCCTTTATGCATCCTGTGTGACGGCTGTTTCTGTAGCAACAGCAGAGTCCTGCTCCATCTGCAGTCTGCGCTAACGCTCGAAGCGTAATCTGCTGCTTCTGCCATCGACCTCATCAACGGCCTCCCCTGAGACAGCCCCAGCAGGAACCAGGCCACAAAGACACATGCCCATCCTGATAAAAGCCACTTCCTTACTCCCAAGTGGAAAGCAGATATAAAACACAGGCACTGCTCACTCTCCCACTTCCAAAGGGCGAGGTTCCCCACGGAGCTGCTCCTCGGCACGGAGGCAAGCACTGCCCAGGCTGTGTAGAGCTCCTACAGCCTTACAAGAGGGTCTCACCTCCACGCCGGGACAGGGGAGAAGGGACAAGCACGACGCTGTCCCCCACAGGAGCCCTTGGAGGGGCCGGGCAGGGACCCAGCGTTCAGTCACCGTGTCCTCGCTTGGCAATTGCAGCACGCCAGATAGATTCCTATCACTGTGTGTGATCCTCCAGGCCAGCACAGCTGAGACAATTACACTTTATACAGCTTCTAACAGCCTCACAGTCCATCTGGGCTGCTCTGTATACCTGCTGCAATACAGGAGAAGGCTGAGTTTTAACGCCTGTCATCCACAGACAGCCCTGGGGCTTGCAAAGCACAGGCCAGCTCCAGTAATTTTCCTTTCGTTGTCTCCAAACTTCCCGGCCGGCACAGGGAAGAGATGCCGAAGGTGATTAATTATGCCAGTCAGCTCACCTACAGCCATGTGACATCTCCTCGCCAGCCGGGAAGGGAGCATGTGATGGAAAGTTCCCCCACATTTCTACAAAAATTTCCCGGTTTGTTGGCTCAGCCTGCAACTTTCCAAACACAGTAGCCTCAAGTTAAATCTCCAGTCTCTGTTTCAGACCCTGACCTCGGGAAATCAGTGTTCAGCCAGTCCACGTCTTTGAAAGCACAAGGACTATGTGTGCACATGCTAAAAGGCAAGCTATAAATACCAAGAGGAATAGGGTTTGCCCATTCTGGGCCTCTTAATAAAGAAGCTTCCAGAAGCAACTTTGTATTTTAAATAACAGCAGTGCTTTTGTACGAGTTTCTGATTTCCTATGATCCTGCAACAAAATATCAGGATCATTAAGCCTGGTTGCTAGGGGATTTCTGGTGGCTCTCCGACATATACTACAAGCTTCTTTGCTCACAGTTGAAAGACAAAGATCTTTTCTTCCCAATGCTTGGAGGTTTTTTAGCAAAACAAAAGTCCCAAACACTCTGAAAAGCTAGATTCTCCACCAGACTACAGCAGCCGGGGACCAGCAGCACCAAACTCCCTTCAAAGTCCAGCCCCTGCTCCATGTCATTGCTCAGGGGCCTCCAGGAAAAAAACACTTCCCATTTCAAATACACAGACCCAGGATCCGGGCACACATCACCAAATAACTTGAAAAATAAAGGCCTCTGAGAGCAGTCAGTCCTCTTGCTGCACACACCAAACACCATTTCCAGCATTAAGATCTTCCCAGCACGTAAGTATGGACAAGTGACAAAGGGCCACAGGCTTGTGGGCTCTTTTTAAGCTCTGCCACACTAAGTGTCATGTAAAGTCTACGATAGGAACTACCTCCTCTCCCACGGTGTTTCCCAATACCCTGCTCAGCTGAGTCAAAACTTTTTTTCTTTTTACAGCTGTACAGAAAAGACAGTGGAGAGAACCTTCTATAGGATGTGACTCATGGCAGAAGCAGGAAAAAAAATCTGTAAATTGAATTAAATCTAAACATTTCTGACTCTAGCCAACCTAGGTGAAATAGCTGTGCCACCTCCACAGCCCAGACAAGTCCCACTTCCGAGGGTGAAGGGCACCAGCATCTTACTCGTCCCACATGAGCAGAAATGGGAGCTGAAGCCAGAGCACCCAGCTGGGTACCGAGGGGGACACAAACCCTGCTGTCTGTGGGCTTCACGCAGAGGGAAAGGCAGCACGGATGCCCAGCTCAGCCAGCTGAATGGACTGCCAGTGCTGGTCAAGGATCTGAGCACTGGGACAGGGGACAGAGGAGACTGTCCCATCCTGCTACAGTCGGTGCCGGATGCCTGCTGCTGTTGGTGCCTGGATGGGATCTCCCAGGTTTTCCTCTCCCTCCAGTTCAGCTGCTGGAAAGGGTGACAACCAGTGCAGAGGAGCAGAGATTGTATTGTCCCTTCAAAACATCAAAATCTGTAAAGAACATATTTATTTTTTTAGCAGGTATTTATAAATTTTCCGAGAATGTCTCCAGACACCAGTACTGTCCAAAGCAGCCATGGTTTCCATTCACGTGAGCACCAGGAAAGCCAGACTGATTGTACCACACGGGTAAAATACAAAGTATTACGAGCAGGATGTGTTCATTACCCATCACTGGAGATATCAGGAGAAAAGGCATTATATTAAGCAGGTGTGTGAACTAATTTCAGCACTGTTATCTCTGCCATCTGCAGACAAAACTATCTTTCATGTTTATTTCCATGTGAGGAAACTTCCATGTTCTGTTTGTTAGATTATCTGCTGCATTGGAGAGCCAGATTATTTTATAAAATGGCCGTGCATTACTGGAAATCAATTATCTCAATTGGTCTCTCTGGCATAAATTAGTTATCTGCTTTGAAGGAAGTTGTACATGGTAATGGCAAAACATCATCTGGCCAGAAAGGAAAGGAAGGAGAGCTAAGCTTTCCTAAACACACTCTTGTTTTTACTCATTTTCTAACTTGACTCCTCCTTCCTGTCGGCTCTCTCCCGGCGCCTTGCAATTACGTCAATCCTCAAGCTGCTCATTCAGAAATTCCTTTTCCCCATTTCATAATAGCTCCTTTCCATGACTCTAAAGCCAGGTGGAATCTATGTCTCTTTTCCATATGGTGATTCAGAGTGGAAAGGTGAAGGAGATCAGAATTTGCATTCACACTGACTGGGCTGTCAGAGAGCAGCAAGGAAACGGCCCAGCTCACACAGACAGCCCCATAATACAGGACATACAGCTCACTTTATTAGTGTCTAAGGAAAAAAGCATTCTTCGACTGCTCTAGGACTTATTTTTGGTTAAAATTAAATAAATTAAACCAGCATATTTCACACTGTGCCTGTGTACAGACTGACAGACGATGTCTAATGTATTTAAGCTCCTACAGAAGAATAAATTAGATAAACTGCACGTCACTAATTATGCAACACACCTTTGGCGAGTGCTTGCTTAAGCCTGTTCTTCCTTAGCTGTGGAAGAACAGATCACAGAAACACCGACTGCTTTCCAGAGACCAACTAATAAAGTCAGCTTTTTCCTTAAATGAGTTTGCACAATAAATACATTTCATTCCAGAGTACGAAACGCAGCCGTGACCCATCATCTGTGCAAGCACAGGCTGCCTAACCAGACCCTGAGAAAGTCAATTTACCAGCCTTTCCTGGCTCCCAGGAGCCTGATTTATCCAAGCACTGCCCATGAAAAGCAGAGGCTGCAGCCTGGGCCCCGATCCCCCCTCCCCAAAATACACAGATGCTGTGTGGTGCTGCCATTCTGAGGGTATTTGAACCGAGTTACTCTACGGTGTGGAAAAGAAGAAACTACCAAGGGGAGAAAACAGGGGTTTGATGGGAAGCTTTAACTTGTTATTTCTCTGGAAGGGAACAAGCCTGTATCGAATGGGCTAGGTTGCTTACCATCAGCCCTCTAGGGATTAATTCGATCAGCAGCGATAGCTGTGTGGATCCTTTTTGAAGCCGTGTTCACCCCAGTTGTTTACATTACAAACGTATCACAGTGCCACCAACGACACCACGAGCCAAGCACCGAACAGACCTTACAGTCAGGCTTGATCCCTTCTACACGTTCTCCAGAGAGCTTCAGCTTCCAGAAAGCTTATCTGCCCTCCGCAAATGGCACCAGCAAAGAAAGACATCTCTCTCCAAGCTGCAGTCTCCCTTGCACTTATCGCATTCAGGGCAGCTGCTGCCATGACATGAGTTCTGCTCACTCTATTTATGCTGAACTACCTCTGCTGCACGACAACCAGCCAACGATCACCGGCAAGACTCCGAGGAGGCTGGGAAAGGCAGCACCGCTTTGAGCATGCACCAGACATCCCTCTCCTTCTCTCCCAGACGGGCTTGCGCAGAGCTCTGCATCTTACCCAGCTAACAACGGAGAAACAAGAAATAAAGCATTGAGGCAAAGCGTACATACTGCCCAGTCAGGGCAGAGGGGATGCTGTAGAGCAATAAGAGGCATCGATCCTGCACAAAGGATCAGAGAATCCTGCACAAAGGATGCACAGCCGGGCACAGCTGCGTCCCGAAGCGCTGAGACTGCCAGGGGAGCCTGGCCTGGCCAGCTATGAGTTAGCAAATTCCCTCGGCGCAGGGCTGCCATAAGGTGTCTAGACTGAGCTGCCCCTGGGAGACAGTGTCTTCAAGAGGATGAAGCGGGGTAAAGCCCTCTCTCCCACCCATCACAGCCCTGCAACCTTGCCTGAGCTGTGCTCTCACAGGGTTCCTAGGCCAGAAAACCTCCCGAGCTGGGTTTAACACCACACACACATTCACCACCCCTTTCTATATCACACAACCATTCAGGTTGGAAAAGCCCTTCGGGATCATCGAGTCCAACCCTCAGCCCGACTCTACAAAGCTCTCCCCTACCCCACATCCCCCAACATCTCATCCAAACGACCCTTAAACACCCCCAGGGATGGGGACTCCCCCCTCCCTGGGCAGCTTATTCCACTCTCTGACCACTCTTTCTGTGAAAATTTTTTTCCTAATATCCTTCCTGCATCTCCTATACCCAGGGCACAGCTGACCACACAGCCACACAACCCTCCCTCCCCCCTGCTCACACCTCTGCTGGGATTTGTGATACCCCTATGGAGTCAGAGGACCCCAAACCCAGGGAAGGGAAACGCCAGGCACTAGCCATCAGTACCACCCACTAACCAGAGCCACCGAGCCCCCCTGAAATCACTTGCACCTCCCCAGGCTGGATGTACAGACATAATCACAGCTCTGCCATGAATCACAGAATCATTCAGGTTGGAAAAGACCCTTGGGATCATCGAGTCCAACCATCAGCCCTACTCTACAAAGTTCTCCCCTACACCATATGCCCCAACAGCTCATCTAAATGAAGCCATGTGCCAGGCAGGCTCTTGATACCTGTGGAAATGATGGGTAAATGACACAGCCTGCGATGAACATCTCCAACCAGGGAGCAGCAGGGCATTGCTTAGAAACAGGTGAAAAAAACTGCCACGTAAAAAATTAGCCCTGTCCTTCAGTAAGCAAGTATGGCACTTGGTAGTCATTGTTTTGTTTTGAAGCTATCCTCTCCAAAATTGAGGCAAACTCTTCTACCCCAGCTGCATGGCAGCATTAACACCTCTGCTCAAGCTGTGCCCCCACGTGCTCCTGGCAAGCACCCTGCTTCTCTGCACCCCAGGACGCTCATAGCAGGGGGCCGAGAAGGGTGGCTACTGCTGCTGGGCTTGGTACTCATCTTTTCCCTTTTTTTGGAGCAGTGGTAAGATGTAGAGTGGACCTTCTTCCCGCCCTCCCTGAGTCATCCAGCTGGCAGCACGGCCGCTTCAGCTAGAGCGTGGCCAGCTCAGCCCCTTCTCCCTTTGGCAGATGAAACAAGGAGATGAATGATTATGCCGATAACACGAGTGGTTTGGGACCTTCCTGCACAAAAGACTGCTGACAGAAACAAGAGCTTGGATGATTACTGGCCACCAAACCTGCCTGTTTCAACAGGCACATCTCAAATGCCAAAATCCGATGTGAAACTTTTTAATGATGACAGCTACTACCACTTACATGGAGCTACAGTGCCTTGGCTGGCTCTGAAACAGCAGCAATGCCTATCACTACAAAATTCCCAGGTTGAGTTCATTGTTAGCATGTTTCAGAGACACAGGCAGACAACTACCTTGGGAAGAAAACTGATCAGACAGAGGTTTTTCCAGAAGATTTTCAGGAAGTTTGAGGTCATGTTAGACAGTTACATGGCTATGTCCATGCCAGCTCACGTGCTGGGATGTGTTGATTCAAAGGCAAGGTGGGCAGCTCTCAAAAGGACCCCGATTCCCTCCTGTGTTTGTCAAAAGACCGTTGTAAGAGCGTGTTACCAAAAGGCCATTATGTATTTCTCACGTTCAAACCCTGGTCCTGCTCACTCACCCACATTTAAGCCTAGCCAGACTCAGGTGTGACACAATGACTGAAACACATCTTGCATGAATAATTCTCCAAAATTCTTGCTTCACCCTCAGCACACATTTTCTGCATGGTCATCCAGTCTGTCAGCAACCAGCCTCTCTCCACCACCAGTATCTGATTTAGTCATTGCTGACATTAAATTATTTTTACCTTTTTGTAGTTACAATCGCCTGCAAATAAAGTTTGGTAAATGTGCCACCAAATCCTAGGATATAACATCAAAGGCAGTTACACTCTGAAGAAAATTTTTATGTATATAGAGCTCTTTAAATACTACTTTAAATACATTTTACTGGCCTGGCAGAGCTCAGCACCTTCTGTGGTGCCTCTACCCCATTTGGGAAATTTGTGTTTGGTTACTTTATTGCTGTAACACTAAACCTTCCTTCAACTGATAGCAAAAGTGAACGTTTCTGGCAGGAACAAAGGAGCTGGGGTCTGTCTACACTGAAGTGACTTTCAGAGATGATCCATGAGACATCTTACACCTCCCAAAGCACAATGATACCTGCACCAGACGCACTCCCCTGATGGAGAAGGTTCCAACTGATGGTGCAGAGGAGTTAACACACAGCCCGCTGCCTATGAACATCACCTAGGCCCTAACCAATATTTATGTATGTTGTTTGTC